ATGTCACTTGATTACCCAAATATTGTACAATAAAGAAGATGAGAGGTCTGTATAAGATTATCCTCATAAGTGTCCTCATTCATCTTCGGTCATTCTCCTATTTTTATCCAGTCATTTTTTATTTTCAAAAGTTAATGATAAGAAATAATTTGAAAAGGAAAAAGAAGAAGATCATTTAGTACATATTCCTCTTACTATCACATATGCTCAGAAAGTTATTTGTCCAAGTAAAGAAATGAAAGAGGATAGAAAGACACTGGCCAACTTAAGAAATACTGGATCAAATTGATGGACTTATCAAACCAATAATAAGATTCAACAAATGCTAAAGTATTAGTGGTTAAGGAACTCTGGGTTTATTTAAAGTTCTTTTACAGTTCTGGTTGTTCAAATTAATATTTATGACCAAGTATCCTGGTTTCTTCTACAGAGTTTCAGCTAATATATAAAAAAAAAGTAAAAGATTTTTTCTTTAACTAATCCTATAAAGGACTTGCTTAATGAAGAGATGGGCTCCAACATCTTAGGCCTTGTGGGAGATTTGCTTATGCAAGACTGGGTAAGGAATCAACAGCTAGCAAGAATTACTATTTCCTGTTTTGCAATGTTGAAATTTTAAATATATATATATATATATGAAATATTGGTCAGCAATGTACAATTCCTCTTTATATTTACCTGTATTATTCTTACAGTAGAAACCTTCCCCTTCAAACCAGCTTAGTTTAATTCAGTTATTAACTGAAAGAATGGTCCAGAAAGAAATATTTCTTTCTTTTTTTTTTCAATTACAAGCTGAATTAACAATTTAAATAACTTATTCTGCCACTTTCATATCTAAAATGAATTAATGGAAAGACAGAATGCCAGATTCTAATATTCCCAGGGTTGGCTCCAAGTAAGGACATGAGCCAAGAGAGAAGCCTCTATAAAGAAAATTTTCCTTGAGAAATATGTAGAATGAGTTATTCATTTTCCTGCCAAATAGGAAAGATAAGAACATATATATATATATGATGTTGCATCATGTTTGCCAGATCAGCTGGATATTTAATGAAAAAGAGTCAGGGCCTGATCCATTTCTCCTAGAAACAACTGGAAGTTTTCTTTCCATCAGCTCCAGTGAGAGTTGGATCTAGCCCCATCTGCATGTTTTCAGGCACAAAACCAATTTTCATTTCCTGACCTGTGTGTAATTCCATCGAGAATGCCGCTATTGCAGAGAGAGAACAACTTATCACAAGATTATAAATATCCAACACCTTCTTAGTTACCATTGTGCAGATATAGTAACTTTTCCCTATTCATTAAATACTTCTGTCAAGATCCTCAGTGTTACAGTGCAGTAAACTAGAACAAAACACATTAATTGCTTAATTACAAAATTTGCATCTGCTGTATTTTCATGAATGTGTTATCAGACACACACATTCCTGCATGTATAAGCCCTCATCTCCACTGCAAGACGTCTTTTAATGTACATGAATCACAAAGCAAGCCTTTACATCATAGAATCATAGAGTGGTTTGGGTTGGAAGGGACTTTAAAGACCATATCATTCCAAAACACCCCCCTGCCATGGGCAGAGACACCTTCCACTATCCCAGGTTGCTCAGAGCCCCATCCAACCTGGCCTTCAACATTTCCAGGGATGGGACAGCCACAGCTTCTCTGGGCAACCTGTGCCAGGCCCTCACCACCCTCACAGAGAAAAATTTCTCCCTGATACCCAATCTAACCCTGCTCTCTGTCAGTTTGAAGCCATTCCCCCTTGTCCTGTCACTACATGTTCTTGTAAATAGTATGTGACAACAAAGAATTAAACAGTCCTATTGTCTATAAGTCAGATCATTGGAGGTTTCTCGAATCAGTCCCTTAGAACTTGTCATTTTTTAAAATTAATGTTTTAATTCATAAGGACTGTCTGTTTATGAATTTTCTACCTGACCTCAGACATGTTTCAACTCCTTTAGCTTTAAATGAATTATCTTCTGAAACAGTAGAACCCTAGGGTGTTATTGTTAGAGTAACTTCACACCAATCTTTTGTGAAGTGCTTTGTGCCCTCACAGGTTCTTTACCACTCTCCAAATAACCAATAAAATATTTATTAAAACAGCCTGAACCACACAGGGTAGCGTAGGCTGAAATTTTGTTCTTTGCTTATTACACACTAAGCAGCATTTTGTATGAGAGCTGTGTTCTAGAACACAAACCCCATTGGGCAAGTAATACATTAGATGTGTCATATTTTCTGTTTCCAGTCTCATCAAGCTGATTTGGAATTTGCTGCCTGGGCAGAGTGACTCATATGTTTACTGGCCCTGACAGGTGCTGGGCATCTTCCACACTCATTAAAGTTAATGACTTCAGCAGCAGACAGGGAAAACTACATGTTGAAGTAGGTTTCCTTTTAACAGGTATTCCCAAGTTATCATTTAACAGAGTATGTAAGTGGTGTCAATTTTCTTCTGCAATCACAAAACCAGCCCATAACCAAACCCCTTACTCTTCATTGAAAAATAACCCAATTAGCTTCACAGGAATTTCCTGTTGGAATAAGGCAAGGAAAAAAAATCCACTATACACAGAGCTTTGCACATAAAAGCTCAGTTTCTTGCCATAAAACCTGTCACATCCTCACCGGAACAGAGGAATTAACATACTGGAAACAAGCCAGTAATTTTATAGAAATATATGGCTTTTATGTAAGCTCTAAATCAGTATTCTCACAATAGCCACAGCTTTGGCATCATTTCTATCCCAACAAGCCACAGCTGCTGAATTGGAGACTTCTGACTTCATATTAGATAAGTAATGAGAAGTTTTATGCAGCGGTGCCAGACCCCGTCCTTTGATATTAACACAGCATGCTACAGTTGTTGACCAGCCACATCAAAGAGATGTGCCTTTAATTTACACTGGTTAGCTAAAAATATTCAGGAGACAACGTCACAGAGACTTCTCCCATGACATGAGACTGTCAACCAAGTTATGAAGAGATGGACACCTCACAGACATCTGTGTATTCACACAAACCCAAGAAACGAGGAGGATTGAATCTTAAACTACAGAGAGATCTCTACTTTGATGCCTGTCCAGCCAGTAGATCTGCCCTGTTAATATGACAAAGTCCTGTAACCTGGCTTCCACCCAGCCAGAAATACTGAGCCAGAGGCCTCACAGAAACCTGTGCCTTACTATTAACCTGCCCTGCAAAGCTCCTGACCTAATGGTCTGGCAAAGAGCATAAAACAAAGCCATCTGAAGTAGGAAAAAGAAAAGACTGAAACCTCTAAAAGGAGAGTTGAAGATTTATTGAAGTTTTAAATACTCATCACTTTTAATGTCTAACTTTTGAGGGTCTTCCAGAGCAAAATGTAATGGTGCATCTCCACAGTTAATCAGACATAACAGTTCAGTTAAAGAACTGTCCTGTTTTCTCTTCAGCAGGTCTCACATGATCATTTCTTGCTCTTATAATACCATAAGACATTGAGGTGCAAACATATGAGCAACTCATCTTCCAAACCCAAACCAATGTGCTGTTTGCTGGACAGAATTACAGCAGAATTAGTAAGCAGCATGCTGACTGATAGAAAACTGCTCAGTTGTTTTTAGAATATATTTCAGTAGTTTGGGGAACACTAATTCAAGATTTAGAAATTCAGCAATGTTTCCATCCACATTGGCACAGAAAGCAATTATAGAAAAAAGTATTTCAGGAAAGCCTTTTCATTCTTGATGTCTGAAAGGAGTTATTCCTGGTTTTATAGTGCATTGCTCCTTATTTTCCACACTTTTTTTTCCCACTTTTTGTTTTGTTTTGTTTTTGTTTTACCTTAAATGAATTTCTAACTTATAATGCTGTGATTTCTGCATCTCAGGTAAGCAAGATAATTCTATTCTACAGCATCAGTCGCTGACTTGTGCCCAGTTTTTGCATACTTTAAAACAAAAAAAGCTGAACAGCAGCAACTGTTTTATCCAAATTTACAGCCTTTGATCCCTCACATGGAGAGAACTGCATATTGTGTAAGGGAAGACCTGTCCACAGTGCTGTGTGAGAGTCTCTGCTCATGCTGGGCAAGATCCAAAGCCCACTAAAATAACTGGGAATTTTCCATTGTCTTCTGTGGAGTTTGCTGGGGCATAACAAGTGAAAAGCAGTTTCACTGAAATGAAACATTCCCCAGAAACACTTCACAATCCTGGTGGTGGCCAGAAGAAAGGGATAGTGAAGTTCTTCCTTAAGCTGCAGGGCTAAATTTGTTGGATCAAACCTAAGGTATTCTCCAGCTCATACACTGGTTCTCAGTGTTTAAAAAAATTAAACTGTTTTCTTCTACCTGGAAACAGAACTTGGTATTGGAATGCTTTGGCTTTGCTGGCACACGTGGTATGCAAGGAACGAGCAGTGGTTAACCAAGCCTAATGGACCAAGTCCACAGAATTTGGGAATGCTTAGGAAATACACCTCTGTCAACAAGAGGAGATTGATAAAAAAGGGCCTGTTCTAAAAGGTTTGAAATAGCCACAAAAATCATAAACTCACCTCAGTCTAAAAATGATCTACCAATTATTATTTTCTCCATCTATCCTGGAAATGCTGTCAAAACTTCACAACTGTGTAACCGAGACATGATTAAAGACACCAGTGTTACCTATGCAAATAAAATCACTGTAATATAAGTCCAAAAAGTAGTGACATTCTAGGTCATTGCTGTAAGAATTCTTGCAGCAATTATCTTAGGAATCATTCACTACTCCACAGATTAGATCCTGAAGCACCTGTCAACCCTATTTCTATGCAAATTGCAGAGCCAGCAAAGTGATGACCTCAAAACCTCCATGACACCAGACCACCAGCAACCAACTTACAAGGCCGTTTAAGAGCACCAAAAAGCACCTTTTGCAAACTATCAGACACAGGCAAAAATATAATCACAACACAGCAAAACACGAATCCAACATAAATGAAAAGGGTAAGCTGCATCTCACCTCGTTTGGATTTTCTGTTGTGGCGGTTTTATTTTTCAGCTTTTTCTGCAGCAGTTTGGTTTCATACTCTGGTCTGGGATGCTCCTGAAAAAAAAAAAAGCAGACATATGGTTATGATTAAGGGAAAAAGCCCAAAAAGTTACGGTCACTTATTCACAAGCCAAGCCATCCAGAGGATTCAACACCACGGCACCTTTTGGACTAAGGGGATCACTGCCTTGAGGTATCTGATACATTATAGGATGCAGGAGAAGATTTAGGGATTGCACAGAACTTGCTGTGGAATGCTTGGAGGAGGAGCCAAAGGTGGAGAAGGGAGGGATTTAAACCACCTGGGGAAGAAAAACTGTGAAAAAACAGATGGATAAGGGGATAAAAAGGGGTGGTCATATACAAATAGTTTGGTGGTTTGACCTACAGCACATGCGGGAAGTGCAGGTGTGAGGCTGAGGATCTAAGTGTTAGGGGAGATCATGCTGATCACCACCACAGAATATTCTGAGTTGGAAGGGACCCATAAGGATCATAGAGTCCAACTCAGACTCCAGGTGAATGGTCCCTTGCCATTGTTAGCGCTCTGCTCCACCCAGCTGAGCCCATCTCAGCTAGCAGGTAGGTGAAGTGCCTGGGGAAAGTGTAAGTTTTTAAGGATGAGACCATGGTGGAGTTGGCTATCAGAGGGACCACGAGAATCCCGGCCAGCTGCCAGAGAGACTGCAGGGTCTAGGGGTCTCTAGGAGTGTGACTCACTAGGGTGGGGGGTGACATCTTCAAGGTCAAGAATAGGGTGGTTTGTTTGCTGGGGGGCCAGGGGAGTCCCAGTCAGCTCTGGGGCAGGAGGATGTGTGTGTGAGTGAGCACCTGGACAGGGGATGTAGCATTGTGGGCTTGTACCTGAGTGCCAGAATCTGAGGAGACTGGGGCCCAGGGTCAGCTGTTGGGCAGAGTGAGTGACCCCAGCTCCCGGGGGGATCTGCATTGTACATATGTGCATATGCACAAGAGGGCTCAGTCTTAAGCTGTGCCAGTGGAGGTTTAGTTTGGATATTAGGAAGAAATTTTTTACAGAGAGAGTGATCAGCCATTGGAATGGGCTGCCCAGGGAGGGGGTGGAGTCACCATCCCTGGAGGTTTGAAGATGAGACTGGATGTGGCATCAGTGCCAAGGTCTGGGAACCACAGTGGGGTTGGATCAAGGGTTGGACTTGATGATCTCTGAGGTCTTTTCCAGCCCAGTTGATTCTATGATTCCATGATATATATATATACACACACACATATATATATATGATTATATTCTCCCTAGCAGACCTCTGCAGCAAGAGAGAGGAGCAGGATGAGGCTGTTGTGCTGTGTTTTGTGCATGTCTGTGTGATCTGTGTGCTGTCCATGCATATGTGCACATATGTGCTCTGTGTACAAATGTCTACTGGGAATACATGGTTTGCTTCACTACAGGTGCAGCCCAGGGGTGTGGAACTGTGGCTGCTTCACCTCTCTTGGGCTGCTGGATCTGGCCCAGTTTCCCTTATAAACAACGTTTCAAGGTTCCCTTTCAAAATATGATTTTCTTTTCCAAATTAGAGCATAAATTAAGCATGGTGGCAAAAATTCACCAGGCTTTCAAAGAAAGCAGCCCATAAAAAGGACGAGTGTCATGTATCTCCTCATTCCCACCAAGTCCTGAATTCATTCAGAGCCTGGAATTCAGATTTGATACCTTCCACAAAAAAAGGCTATTCCTCCAGCATTGGTCATATTATCCATCTTTACAATAACTAGACCATTTGCTTATCAGCCCTATCAAAAATTTTTGGCTTACTGACACTTTTTAATGAATCTGGTAGCCATGAAGAGACCAAAAACAATTTTAAATAAAATTATTTAATCCTCATAAGCAATACAGTGGAGGCTACATGGAACTTTGGCAGTCTTCCTTGAGGGATACCGGTGAGGTTCATTTTCCATATCTGCAACATTTTCACTACTTCAGACACAACTTCCACCATTCTCTGATGCACACAAGAATATAAACACTGTGAGACCCCCAACCTATAGTTTATCTTGATCGTGAAATTTTCCTGATGCATTAAAAAGGTATGTGACATACTATCATTTAAATCATAGAATGGTTTGGGTTGGAAGGGACCTTAAAGATCATCTCGTTTCAACCCCCCTGATGGGGGCAGGGACATCTTTCACTAGACCAGGTGTGATGTCTCACCATTAAGGGGAAGGAGACACCTGAGATTCATAAATGCTCATGGTGAACAGTCAGAGGGTCTGCAAACAACTAGGAAGTCTTAATAGTAAATTGCACAATTGGCATGGAAAATGGTATGTTAGTCCCTGAACTACTATACAAGCACACAGCAGTGGGTTTGGGATAAAGGGGTAAGATGAAAAGGAAGAGAGAAAAGAAGAGAAGAATTCAAGAAAGAATTAGAGAAAGAAAGAGTGAGTTAATTCAGCAATCCTGGTTCTACTGTCAATCCAGCTGATGGGATATCCAGGGATTCATCCTGGGAGATGCCACCCAGCTTTGGGGTGGGTACCTTTTTATGGATAGGTTTCCCCACACTGAAGATGGGCTTCTCACTTTCTAAACAGATCAGTGTAAGTGTTTACAGATGCTGCAGTCAACACCTGTATCTTGATGTTTTGTAAGTTTTCACCACCTTTTTGATCTGCAATATTTTGTATCACGCTCCCTTAGCTACGGTACAGAGGTCAGATGCAAGAAACAACTTTAGGCTTAAGAGATCTAATGGGAGCACTCTATGGGAGCACCTGGAGATCCGAATTGGCTTTTTTTCTTTTTTTCATCTTACTTTCTGGTAAGCACAGCATTCTGAGCCACCAGGGGCAACTTCCAGAGGTCAGAGCAACTTCTGAAAACTGACTTGAATGGAAAAAGGGTGAGAAGATAAATGCCAAGCAGAACATTGAACTGTAACTTACTGTTTGCAATTGACAGTTTTGCTTTGAGTGCATATTCTGTTCAAATTTGGGCAAGTTATGCTTAGTTTTCCTAGTTAAAGATGTCAATATCCTTTTTAACTGCATTTCATACACCTACATCTGGATTGGAAAATTGGTTGATCTGTCTTCTCTGAATCTGCCAAGTCATCTTACCCTTGACTGAACAGACCACAGAGCTTCCTGGAATGCAAGTTTCTATATATTCCTTTTATGAGTATTTTAAACAAAATATTTCTTTACAGTCCAGACTCAGAGATATTTGACCCATACATACATGGATGTGAAGGGACAATTCAACTCAGCTGTAAAAAGAGCATGATTCAGAATCAATTCTTTGTCTGAAAATGGGAAGAGTTCTACACTTAATAAGCTAGAAATAGTTGTGATGACTTCAAGAAGGCCAAATGTCCATGTAGGGATAAATATGCATCCCACGATGCTGGAAGTTTGCCAGTACAGCTGCCAGACACTTATTGAAAACCATGTGAGCCAAGGTACTTTGAGGCCAAATGAGTGCTCAGAGTAGAAAAACTGTAATTCCCATTCTGGAAACAAAGAGCCAAATCATGGAATTTTTGCTCAGGCTAAACTCAGATTGACGTCAGTGGGAATTTTCCCTGAGAATGGTCTTCAGGATTTGCCTCAAATCTATACATGTGCATCCAGTACACATTGCAAATTCTGGCTGCATGGGTAACAATCCAGTTTGATAAGAATATAAGATGTGAACTGATCTCTCCTTAATTTCTTTTTGATTTAAGAAGAAAGTGATAACAGAATTTTACAAAGCGTATGTGACAAATACATTAGATTTATAAGAAGAAAAGATAGAACCTTGGAAACTATTCCAGATTGACAGACCAAAGGAGTTACCATCAAAAAAAAAAAAGCCATATGCCCAAAGTAAAAAAAAAAGTACAAATTCATTGAACAGCCTTATCCTAATATGCTGAGCACAAGCAGAGCAGCAAATCAGTGCACATTGATAGAGAGAAAGGTTTCCAAAAGGAAAAATTGGAATGACCCAGCTGCTGCCCCAAAGTAAGAGGGAAACTTGGAATGAATAGAACAGAGAGCCCAGCTGTTCTTTGATGCAAAAGGGTTAATTATGACAAATCAAGGACCAAACCCCTCTCTTTCTTATGATAATGATGACAGAGGGTGGTGGGGTGAGAAGTCCAAGGAAGAGTTTGCTATTCACACCAAGGATCTCTTTAGACTGTCCCCCTAAAGGGACGCTCATCCAAAGAAAAATGGTTTTATATCTCAACATGGGGCTGCTGGTAGATGTCCCCAGTCTTTTTAGTCCAGATCATTTGTACAATACATTTGATAAATGCAAAATTAAAACAAAAGCTTGAATAAGTCATTTAACAAACTTAGGGATGTTAGAAGATAAAAGCCACTGAGCAAGTACACAGGACCTCAGCTATCAAAGGTATTCTAAAGCAACATAAAACTGAAGGAGTTAAAAGAAACTATAAGGTCTATTATGGGAATACATTTCCCAGACAGATAGATAGATCTTCGCTCTCATTGAGCAAGAACAGTGGTAGTGCTTCAGGGGACTACCTGCAAAACTAAATTTTGAAATATGGCCTCAGATTTTTAAATGCCCTTAGGCTAGGATCAAACAACCAAATGCTGTCATTTCAATGCCTGATAACATTTTGAGGGCAACTGCAGCAGAACACAGCATTGTTTGGTTTTGTTCATTTTACAGTTCAAATTCAATCTGTTTAAATACTCCTGTACTGGTAAATGGAATTGTGTGAATCATAGGATCACAGAATGGCCTGGGTTGGAAGAGACCTTAAGATTGCCCAGTTCCAACCCCTCTGTCATGGCAATGGACACCTTCCATTATCCCAGGTTGCTCCAAGCCCTGTCCAACCTGGCCTGGAACACTTCCAGGGATGGGGCAGCCACAGCTTCTCTGGACAACCTGAGCCAGGGCCTCCCCACCCTCACAGGGAAGAATTTCTACCTAATATTTAATCTAAGCCTACTCTGTAAAAGAAAGTAAATGAGAGCACATTGATATGTCAGCTAGAAGAGACATAAAAGAGCAAAATTAAATAGAGTCCCAGGATGTTGTGGCA